TAAAAAAGAAGCAAAAATGTGCATAACATCAGGTCCCTGTGCAATGCCACGTTAGCTGAACTCGCAACAAGAGTCACCCCAGATGTCAACAACGGCCACTTCCTGCGCTTTGACGTCGATAGAATGCTCGCCAACGACTATACAATACGATAAAAAAAATGCAGAACAGAAAACTATGCGGCTCACCACAAGTGAATCCCTCTTGCGAACTCGGTCGAATGTATCCTCTGATCTTCAGTGTCTGTCCGCAGTTATTGAAACTCCGCACGGCCGAATTGTGCAGCATATTGAAATCTGTGTAACTACTGTCTGCGTCGTTCACTGATTCTCAGTGCCTGGCGCATGGCTGTATTCTCTCCAGTACCCAAGAAACCATCAGCGTCCATAGACCCGAGCGATTTTTGACCGATTGCTCTTGTTTCTGCTCTCTTGCGCCTTTCAGACAGTTCCTTGTAATAAGTTGTTGGATAACTGTCCATTCCTCCATCATCCGATGGTTAGCGAACCATTTTTCCCATCGTTGTCAGTTTGTCAGAATCTTTCGGAATAAATCTGACATCTTGGCGAATAATCGGGGTGTAGTGCAGGATTCTGTAGTCTCACCATTGCTATTAAATATCTAAATAAATGACCTTGTCCTTGATGGACGCTTAAAATGTATAAAGTATGCTGATGACACTACCATTGTGAGCTCTCTACGGTCGCCTGAAGACCGGAATTGTTGCTAAATTGGCGTTTCTACCATCTGCCATTTTTTCTCCAACAGCGGGCTCATCTTTAATGTGAGAAAGGTTAAAGAAAGGATCTTTGTGATATGAAACACCAGAATACAGGCACTGGTTGACCTAACAACACCAAATCTCGACATCGATATCCAGCCAGTAATCTAAGTACGGCGTATCCGCTGCCTAATAGTCCCCTTGTCTTCTAATTTCTCTTGGCACCAACATATGAAGTCATGGGTTTGAGATAGCATTCTTCTCGACACTTTCACTAATTCGTTGGTTTTTTTGTTTTCTCTTCACTGAAATACCTCGCGATGTATTCTGACTTGCCGAAAGAAGGCCCATCCATCAGCCTCAGCCCATATCAGAGGCACGGCGTTAGCTTAAACATGCAGGCAGCAACGCTGCGGCTTAGGTATGCGGATTGGTTTAGCAACATATATTTATCTTCGAGGATGTAGAGTACATGTACAGGCTGTAACTATCTGCATCTCAGATAATACACCGTAATTTTTGTTTATAATCTGAGTTTGGTCGCGGTCATCGCCTTAATTTTTGCTTTAATTAGGACTAAGTACTGAATACGATACGAAGGCAACGTTGCAAATTTTCTCGCTCTCGCGATTTGGTTGAAGCACAGAAAGCCGCTAGATTTTCCCGTATAAACTGCCTTACTGGCATCCTCGATGAAAATTCATACTTATAGAAATTGAGCTCTTGTGAGTTCAGATATTTCTTGAAACGTCTGACCGTGCCAGAAACGGCCAAGAGACTCAGAAAGCTGTTTGTCACAGCCTGCATTCTGCTTTTGGTGATGCTTCGTCGATGTACTTGTTATTCTTTGTTAAAATCCTCATAATCGGTTTTCATCATCTGTTCAAAGGGCAGACGTCACATTTTCATGCATTGCATCGTTTATTGGATATCAGTAATATAAGTTAACAATACTCATCCAGCTTCGCCTTGATGTTCCTCCCGATGCTGAGTTTTCCAGTACAGTTACCTTTAAATAGCTGCTATTTTTTCTTTCGTCGTTAGCAAAATATTGTAG